ACAAAATCAGATAATTAAAAATTATAATTTTAACCAAACAATCTAAATTTTTTAAATGTTAAAGTAAATAAATTATTATAAAAATTTCATATTCAATTTTCTTTACTTTAACTGTAAAAATTTAATTGAAAAATAAAATAATATAAAGCTTACGAAGTCATAAGAGATCATCTAAAACACATAATATAGCGTATTATAAAAAAAACATAGTCTTGACACTAAATATTGATAAACAGGTCTTGCTTTTACAGGGTTAAAAGAGTTTAAATTATTACTGTTTATTATTTTCTTTATTTTTCTCGTATGAGCATTTCGATCTTCTGATTCTATTCAGTGGATTCATAAGACAGAGTTTACTCTACAAACAAATAAATATCTCAAAACCATTCAACTTACAAAGTATTTTTGATAAAAATTATTGTTTAACGTTTTACCTTACGTAATTTTTGGATTTTATTACTTTTATTTTTTGTAATTGTGTTACTAAACGCAATTCGAAATTTCAATAAAAATATTTTCTATAAAGTTTTATGACTATTATATACATTTTTATTTCATTAACTATAAAAGATATACATTTATCAATAAATTACATTAAAATAAATGTTACCAACGGTAATGAAGGCGGAAAATTATACAGACTTACTATTTCGCTAATATTAAAAATGAATAGTGTAAATTATTTGTTTATTTTATAGTAAGGCTTGAAACTGTCTTTTTTCACTTGAAAAAGTAAACACGAAATAAAAGATCTTTATTTTCGATTTTCTCAGAAACAAATACTTTTAATAGCTCTTGCAACATCGTTCATTTCGTGTGTGGATAAAAACGTTTGTGTTGTGAGTAAAAGAAAAACAAGTTTGAAATTGTATTTGATTTCCATAACGACAGTGGATGTAAACAATGCACGGTAAACAATACATAGCATTCACATGCCAGACAGTAAAACCCTTGGTTATTCCGAGATAACTCGAAAATGAAAGTATTTTTGCTGTTAGTCTTAGCTTTTGGGTGTTTCAATTATATTTCTTCGAAAAAAGGTGAGTATTAATAATACTGTATTTATTAGAAATTTATTTCTATGCGTTAAATTAATGTTAATGTTTAATCTGTTACAATTTCATTTATGTTTTTTCTATAGATTTTTTTACTGAAAACTCTCATTTGTATCAGTAGTTTCTTTGGAGAAAAATCAATGATTTCTGGATTGATATAGAACGAGGGTGGCAAACCCTTTTAATATAACTTAGCGTTTAGTGTTATATTCTAACATAGCATAATGTTTTATATTAAAATATTTCAGTAAAAATTCAATAGAATTCCATTAATTAATGCTTTTCAACTAATGCATTTTACAACTTCTTTTTTGTATACACAATTTTTCCATTACGTTAATGTTATACTGTACTTTATAAAATGCTTAATACATTTATTTCTAAATATATATTTATGCGCTTTTGTAATCTTTTTATTAATATGCGTTCGGTCATTTATAAATAAAAAATATCACTTATGTATTAAAGGAACATGTTAAAATTGCGTGAAAAATTTCCATAGATGATCGGTTTTGTTGTTTAATTAATTATATTCGACTAACAAAGTGTATTATACATCAAATAAAGAGTTATGTATTAAAGTAGTAGAGATTAGAAATGTAAACTGTGTGGCAAGGTCATCGACAAAAGAAAAGTTGGAATTTATTTCGGGCAACTGAAAATCAATGTTAATTGTTTTTTTATAAATTAGTAATATCAGCAATTACGGCAGTGAATCCGCGTAAAGTTAAAAAAGTTACTGACTGACTACATATTCAAGAATCTCAGTTGCCGATTTTTAGAGTCGATTTCTTTGTCTCCAAACATCATAAGGAATTTCGAATAATTTTTCGTAAAAAATTATCTTTGATGTTTTCGTTTTAATTGTTAATAACAAAAATATAAATGTAAAAAATGTTTTTAGTAATACATAAGCTTTTTACTTATTTCGTTCGTTACAAAAAAGCAAATGGTTCACATACCAAAACGCAACGTGACCNACATGTTGTTTTTTTTGTTACATTTAATAGAAAATTCAAATCTTAAATTACAGAAAAAATGTTTAGATAGCGATTTATAGCAATAAACAACGTAATAAATATTAGGTTTATATTTTATTGATATATTTAATGGGAAATTCAAATCTTAAATTACAGAGCAAACGTTTGGATAGCGATTTATAGCAATACACAACGTAATAAATATTAGATTGAATTTTTGTTTTCATTAGAATATCCTAGTAACTAGAGCAGAAGTGACCAACAGTTCTCGCCCCCAGGCCGAATTGGAAAGAAACTTTTTTCACGAGCCAAACCGGAGTCTGCCTTAAGAAGGTGGTATAAGATCTCATTGTGGTGTCACCCCGTAGAGAATAAATTGTACATAGACATTACAGATACATTTTTACATTATCGTGCTTTATCAACATTTTACGCTGAACTTCAGAGATTTATAATGGAGGGTTAACTCTAAACGCACAGTGAGTTGTTTACCTTTATTTTTCAGGCATCAGAATTTTTCATCGCGGTATTCGTACTTGAGTAGCTAATATTAAAAGTTTAATCGCGGGCAACATAAATTTATTAGACGAACCGGATCTGGCCTGCGGGTCGTATGTTGGCCATGCCTGAACTAGAGTATTGCGAAATTAATCAATAACACTAGTGACACACGTACGAAGCTTTTGAGACCGTCATCATTGTAATTATAACTTTCTACATTTTCATATCTAGGTTTTACAGCGATGTTCGAATGATTGAAATGTTTTCAACGAAGTTTATCAATCGTGTGTTTAATTAATACTTTTTTTAAATTGTAATATGAACATTGTTGTTTTAATAAATTAATCGAATTTTTTCACATTATTGCATGTTTTGGATAATTATTTATAGTCACCGAGCATTACAATTTATTCACTTTGCCCATAACATATACTTAAGATATAAATATTACAACAGCAATATTTATCTGGGTTATTTGCAATAAAATAGTTTTACCTAATGTTCCACAATTGTAGTCATCTTTATTGATCGCAGAAGCTAACTCATTAAAATTTCTAGGTGCATCTTCTCTCAGAAGAAAACACATAGAAGACATTAGAGTAATACTGTAACTGGATATTAAAATTAGAATCGATAGGAACCAGATTCCAATTAAAAATCTTCAATGGTATCTTCTTATCAGGTGCAACTGAATCCCTGGGAAAACATTTCTTTATCAAACATAATCACGCAATAATTCATCTTATATATCAAATTAACATACCTTGATATATCAAAGTGCAAAACAGATTCCAGAAAATTTGTCTTTTTGTCCAATTGACTTTTATTTTGTCAGCTGTGAAATCTTTTTCTATGAGTTTGGGCAAAACGAATCCAAATACAGTAGAGCCTCGATTATCCGACCTAATTGGGGACTGAGGTTGGTCGGATAATTGAAAGGGCGGATAACCGAAAAGTATGAAAAAATCCATTATTAATGTAGTATATTATTATATCCCATGTAATTAGTATATTAGTATATCGCTATTAACTTACTTCGCGTTGAATTTTCATCTATGTTAAGCCTAACGAAAATTTTTTAAAATAATAATCATCGCTATTATATCGTTAAAAAGTAGAAAATTAAGCTTCGTTTAAATACTGGCTCCCTTTCATGGTCGAATAAGTGTTGCCAGCTAAAACACGTAAAAATAATATTAAAGTAACGAAGACATAGGCAAATATTGTAGCGCCACATCAATAGCAGACATTTGAAATTTGCCGACTAGGATGGTAGGTTAACTGAGGGGTCGGTTGATAGGGGGACGGATAATGGAGGCTCTACTGTATAACGAGAAATAATACTAGAATGATTCACATCTGTAATGTGTTTTATGTTTTTACTTTTTTTTAATGAAATCTAAGATTAAAAAGCAATATGTAAGTTCAATCAGCAAATAATCTGTAAAAATAATGAGACTGTTAATCTGCGTTTTCCGCTTATGCCTGTAAACAGTTCAGTATATACTCATATTACTTTTCTTGAAATTTGTTGCTATATGTCTCTGATATAAATTACAGTATTTATAATAATATAATAATAATATTAATAACACACCTGAATTCCATTTGTTGAATGTTTTCTCTTTATTTCTAACGTTTTCAGCCTATTTGGATAGGCCATCCATAGGTTTTCATTAATCGTTCCAAAATGGAATCATTCGTTCGAATTTTATTTTGATTTGAATATTTGAAATGTATGAACAACTTTTTGTATGTTACATAAATAAACAAAATAAAATAAATAAAATATGTCACTAAACTTATTAGCAAAAATATAAATAACAAATTTACATGCGTCTAAAATATAATAGCTTTTTATAAACTCCAGTTCTTATTTTATGGATTATTGAAACCCATACATTTTTCTATTTTGTACTTCCAAGCTGTTGATAACGTATTTGCATCCTTTTCATTTAGACAGCGGTTCCTCATTTTAGTTTTGTATATCTCTATTTTTTCCATTTCCATCGCAAAGGACGGTGAGTTCACCGTTCTTATTATCTTCGCTTTATCCCATTTAACTATTGCTCTGTCTGCCATTGCCATGCTTCCCAATATCGTGCTATTGAGTCCTTTACTAACACTGTATTTGTATTGTGCTCTTTTACACGTATGCAAAGTTTTTTCTGGTTATCTTAACATATTCTATATCTTTATCTGTATAAAAATAAATTAAATAATGAATTATTTAATTTATTTTTGACATGAAAGTATTCGTTGTGATAATCATTTCTAATGACTTTCTGGTTCTATCACATTTTACAAGAAGTGTGTATCATAATCTATTTTATCAGTTATTTGTTACCTCTTTAGAAAATGGTTTTATGATGGAACTCCAATTCTGTGTTTTTCTACGAGACATTGTTACAAAGTTTATTGTTCGAAGAGTTAGGGGAGAACAGTAATCAATAACAGAGAAACGCTCAGAATTAACAAATAAAGTCATGTAAGACATATCTACTTCCTATGGAAGGACAAAGATATGTTTTAATAAATCACTAATATATTTTAGAAATTATATTCTTACCTTATTTTTAAGTTTCTTCACAAATTTATTTCAAGACCTATTTTTCAGGACAAATCCAAATGTTTTATGGAATTATTATTATAGAATTATGGAAATGGTTTTACTATAGAATAACTAACTACAAAGAGTTAAAACATATTATTAGATCAGCTTAATGTTCCTGAATTAGCATTGTTTTCAATTACAAATAACTGTATTCAAAATTCTTAGATAGCATCAAAGAATTAGCATGTTATTTTGGAGTCAATCAAAATGCGATAAAGGCCATTGTCAACAAAAAAGAACGGATGAAAAGATAATGAAAGGGGAGGAATTGCAGAATGCACAGTGATGGAATACATGACATTCTATGGTATATTTTCAAAGAAATAGGAGCAGCAACAACAAAAAGAAAGTTTTCAAAAGGAATTTGACACTATTCCAAATGATAAGTATGAAAAAGGAAGGTATAGACCAGAGTCTTATACTTGGAATTTATAGAATACCTGTACCAGACAAATAAAGGAAAAAGTTCTTTATTACATTAAAGCTGCAGAAAAGTTTTTAAATTTTTTTCTAATTATTCTACTTACTGATAATTTGTTTAATTTTTTTTAAACATTATTATTTGGAGTTTAAATTTTTTGCACGCATAAGCATCTTTCAAGCTAAGTAAGTTAATTTAGTTTTTTTTAAATGGTTTTCAATCCTTGCTCAATATTTTTTCAAAATTCATCGATTTTCTGCAAAGAAACTGCTGAAGAAAATGTGAAATTTCAGTAAGTAAAAACAATATGCAAAATATAAATTTAATTGTATAAAACTGAATAAGAGTAAATACTTTTTTAACCTGAGGCTACTTAACATTAGAATAGTACGTAGTTTAATAATTGCGTTAACCATAAATCGTTTAAAAGTACTATTCTAAATATAAAATTATATTTTTTAGTTTATATTGAAATTCAAAATTAGTTATAAAGTAAAATATTGTATTTTAAGATTAATAATTTGCTGTAAATATAATAATAATTAAAGGAAATGAATTTGTGAGAAATAAAATGTCCCTAATACTCATCTTCTTTTGAAGAAATATATTTGGAACACCCAAAAACAAAGCAAACAAAAATAATCTCATTTTCGTATCATTTCGGAATAATCAGGAGTTTTTCTATTCGGCATGTAAATGCTATGTATTGTTTATTATCCACTGTCGTTATAGAATAAAATACAATTTAAAACGTTTTTTTTTCATTGACAAGACAAACGTTTTTATCCGCCCACGAAATGAATGGTGTTTTAAAAGCAATCAAATAAATTTGTTTCAGAAAAAAATCGAAAGAGTTTATTTTTTCATGTCCAGACTTTCAATAAAGTTTCAAGCCACAAGAATCATACACGACTAATTCATACTATTCAACCACTTTTACTATTTGTAAAGTAATAACAGTTTTATTATTTTAAGTTTTTATCTACTGCTGGTAACAGTTATTTCAATGTAACTTATTGATAAATATACATCTTTTATAGAGTGTGACTTAAAAATGTATATAATTTCATAAAACTTGATGAAACGTTTTTAATTAAAATTACAAAAGTTCACAAATTGATTACAAAGAAACTAAAATGTATAATTTTACAGCTTTAACCTTTCTACCTCCATTTCAACGTGAAAAAATTAATTAACCATTTATAAAAATACGAAAATAAACTGCACTGTTTTATGTCACACAATTGAAGTTTCACGAGCTTTATATACTAAAAATATACAAATTTATAAACAGAAAGGTTATTATGTAGTACTGGTCTATATTGTAAGCAACGTAAATGTTTAAAGAAACTCTGTCAATGTCAAATATGTGAAGATAATTTTTCGATTGTAAAAAAATTTTTCACATAAATGTACAGGCAATAACTAAATAAACACAAATTTCAGAAATACTCTTTTTTACAATAGGTCTGAATGTATGACTTTACTATTTGACAATTTCTTGGCATTTCGTAACACTAAACAAAAAAATGAAACCCATTTTTATTTATTTTAAAAACAAGTAACTACATCTAATAGCTCTTGAATTACAATTTGATTCGCTTATAGATGAAAAAGTATTCCTGGGAAAAGTAATCAAGTTTTTCTTACATGCTAGTGTATGCTTATATTTCTTTCTCCGATATTTTGTTAATCATATTCTTATTTCATATTATGTTAATATTCGTAAGATGAAATTTAACGGATAGGAATCTTTTCGACATTATTTTTTCGTTTTTGGTATTGCTCGCATTCGATGTATCGTGACTA